ATATTGATGTTTTACTGTACAGTGATAACTAACGGGGTGTTATATTGAGGTGTAATTGTACAGTGATAACTAACGGGGTGTTATATTGAGGTTTCACTGTCAGTGATAACTAACGGGGTATGATATTGAGGTGTAATTGTACAGTGATAACTAACGGGTTGTTATATTGAGGTTTTACTGTACAGTGATAACTGACGGGAAATTATATTGAGGTGTAATTGTACAGTGATAACTGAAGGGGTGTTATATTGAGGTTTTACTGTACAGTGATAACTAAAGGGGTGTTATATTGAGGTTTTACTGTACAGTGATAACTAACGGGGTGTTATATTGAGGTATCATTGTACAGTGATAACTAATTGGGTGTTAAATTGAGGTATCTTTGTACAGTGATAACTAACGCGGTATTATATTGAGGTATTATTGTACAGTGATAACTAACGGGGTGTTATATTGAGGTTTCTTTGTACAGTGATAACTAACGCGGTATTATATCGAGGTTTTAGTGTACAGTGATAACTAACGGGTTGTTATATTGAGGTATCATTGTACAGTGATAACTAACGGGGCGTTATATTGTGGTATCATTGTACAGTGATAACTAACGGGGTGTTATATTGAGGTATCTTTGTACAGTGATAACTTACGCGGTATTATATTGAGGTATCATTGTACAGTGATAACTAACGGGGTATTATATTGAGGTATCATTGTACAGTGATAACTAACGCGGTATTATATTGAGGTTTTAGTGTACAGTGATAACTAACGGGGTGTTATATTGAGGTATCATTGTACAGTGATAGCTAACGGGGCGTTATATTGAGGTTTTATTGTACAGCCATAACTAACGGGGCGTTATATTTTGGTTTTATTGTACAGCGATAACTAACGGGGCGTAATAATGAGGTTTTATTGTACAGTGATAGCTAACGGGGCGTTATATTGAGGTTTTATTGTACAGCGATAACTAACGGGGCGTTATATTTTGGTTTTATTGTACAGCGATAACTAACGGGGCGTTATACTTTGGTTTTATTGTACAGCGATAACTAACGGGGCGTTATATTGAGGTTTTATTGTACAGTGATAGCTAACGGGACGTTATATTGAGGTTTTATTGTACAGCGATAACTAACGGGGCGTTATATTTTGGTTTTATTGTACAGCGATAACTAACGAGGCGTTACATTGAGGTTTTATTGTTCAGCGATAACTAACGGGGCGTTATATTGAGGTTTTATTGTACAACGATAACTAACGGGGCGTTATATTGAGGTTGTATTGTACAGTGATAACTAACGGGGCGTTATATTGAGGTTTTATTATACAGTGATAACTAACGGGTCGTTATATTGAGGTTGTATTGTACAGTGATAAGTAACGGGGCGTTATATTGAGGTTTTATTGTACAGTGATAACTAACGGGGCGTTATATTGAGGTTGTATTGTACAGCGATAACTAACGAGGCGTTATATTGAGGTTTTATTGTACAGCGATAATTAACGGGGCGTTATATTAAGGTTTAATTGTACAGCGATAACTAACGGGGCGTTATATTGAGGTTTTATTGTACAACGATAACTAACGGGGCGTTATATTGAGTTTTTTTGTACAGCGATAACTAACGGGGCGTTATATTGAGGTTGTTTTGTACAGTGATAACTAACGGGGCGTTATATTGAGGTTTTATTGTACAACGATAACTAACGGGGCGTTATATTGAGGATGTATTGTACAGTGATAACTAACGGGGCGGTATATTGAGGTTGTATTGTACAGCGATAACTAACGAGGCGTTATATTGAGGTTTTATTGTACAGCGATAACTGAAGGGGCGTTATATTAAGGTTTCATTGTACAGCGATAACTAACGGGGCGTTATATTGAGGTTTTATTGTACAGCGATAACTAACGGGGCGTTATATTGAGGTTTTATTGTACAGCGATAACTAACGGGGCGTTATATTGAGGTTTTATTGTACAGCGATAACTAACGGGGCGTTATATTGAGGTTTTATTGTACAGCGATAACTAACGGGGCGTTATATTGAGGTTTTATTGTACAGCGATAACTAACGAGGCGTTATATTGAGGTTTTAATGTACAGCGATAATTAACGGGGCGTTATATTTAGGTTTTATTGTACAACGATGACTAACGGGGCGTTATATTGAGGTTTTATTGTACAGCGATAACTAACGGGGCGTTATATTGAGGTTTTATTGTACAGCGATAACTAACGAGGCGTTATATTGAGGTTTTAATGTACAGCGATAATTAACGGGGCGTTATATTTAGGTTTTATTGTACAACGATGACTAACGGGGCGTTATATTGAGGTTTTATTGTACAGCGATAACTAACGGGGCGTTATATTGAGGTTTTATTGTACAGCGATAACTGACGGGGCGTTATATTGAGGTTTTATTGTACAGCGATAACTAACGGGGCGTTATATTGAGGTGTTATTGTACAGTGATGAATGAGGAGTATCATGCCATAAAAAAATTACACTAACTCTAAAGAAAGACAAAGTAAAATCTAACTGACTCTACAGAAGGACATCGAAAAACCACACCATTCCCTAACAAAGACAAAGCACACCATGTCTAAACAAAGACAAAAACAAATCACACCATCTCTAAACAAAGACAAAGGCAAATCACAACATCTCTAAAGAACGACAAAGACAAATCACACCATCTCTAAACAAAGACAAAGGCAAATCACACCATCTCTAAACAAAGACAAAGAAAAATCACACCATCTCTAAAGAACGACAAAGACAAATCACACCATCTCTAAACAAAGACAAAGGCAAATCACACCATTTCAAAAGAAGGACAAAGAATAATCACACCATCTCTAATCAAAGACAAGAACAAATCACACCATTTCTTAACAAAGAAAAATCACACCATCACTAATCAAAACCAAGAACAACTCACACCATTTCTAAACAAGGACAAAAACAAATCATACAATTCCTTAACATAGACAAATCACACCATCTCGAAACAAACACATCGAAAATCACACCATTTCTAAACAAAGACAAAGAAAAATCACACCATCTCTAAACAAGGACGGAAAATCCCATCATCTCTAAACAAAGACAAAAACATATCACTCCATTCCTTAACAAAGACAAATCACACAATCTCCAAATAAAGACAAATCATCCCATATCTAAACAAAGACAAATCACATCGTCTCTAAACAAGGACAAAAACAAATAGTACAATTCCTTAACAAAGACATATCACACCATGTCTAAACAAAGACAAGGACGAATCACACCATTTCTAAACAAGGACAAAAACAAATCGTACAATTCCTTAACAAAGACATATCACACCATGTCTAAACAAAGACAAGGACAAATCACACCATTTCTAAACAAAGACAAAGAAAAATCACACCATTTCTAAACAAAGATACAGAAAATCACACCATCTCTAAACAAAGACAAATCACATCATCTCTAAACAAGGACAAAAACAAATCGTACAATTCCTTAACAAAGACATATCACACCATGTCTAAACAAAGACAAAGAAAAATTACACCATTTCTAAACAAAGACAAAGTAAAAACACACCATCTCTAAACAAGGACGGAAAATCACATCATCTCTAAACAAAGACAAAAACATATCACACCATTCCTTAACAAAGACAAATCACACCATGTCTAAACAAACACAAAGACAAATCACACCATGTCCAAACAAGGACAAAGAAAGATCACACCATCTCGAAACAAAGACATCGAAAATCACACCATTTCTAAACAAAGACAGAAAATAACATCATCTTTAAACAAAGCCAATGAAAATAACACCATCTCTAAACAGTACAAGGCAAATCACACCATCTCCTAACAAAGACAGAAAAACACAATATCTCTTAACAAAGACAAATCACACCATCTCTAAATGAAGACAAATCACAACATCCCTAAACGAAGACAAAGACAAATACACCATCTCTAAACAAAGACAAATCACACAATCTCCAAATAAAGACAAATCATCCCATATCTAAACAAAGACAAATCACACCATATCTAAACAAATACAAATCACCCCATATCTAAATAAAGACAAATCACACGATATCTAAACAAATACAAATCACACCATCTCTAAACAAAGACAAAGCACACCATATCTAAACAAATACAAATCACCTCATATCTAAACAAAGACAAATCACACCATATCTAAACAAATACAAATCACACCATATTTAAACAAAGACAAATCACACCATATCGATATCACATAAGATTAGAATGTTGACTGTAATTGGAATTACAATGATACAAAAACATCATAAAAAATATGGAGGATAATGTGTGAAAAAGAAAGTAGCGTTATTTGACCCTGTATGTTGTGTATCGAGAATGTCCCTGTTAAAACCTGTAATTTATTCCACTTACAAAAATGAAATAAAACATACAACATGACGAACTGCATTTATGCGTAACTTTGATTAACAACCGACACGATATATTCAAAAAGTAGGCTACAACACGCTGTATATAGCTGTATACGTGTGTAGCAGACACCGATAGGATGATTATCTCTCATACATGGACTACACTGACACAAATAGCATAGAGATTGTTTACTGGAACAGCCATGCACATTATCACACGACCACTCTACTGAACACTGTGGTGACGTTTTGTAGCAGTGTGCTGCACAATTCGGCAATACTGTATATCATCTTTTATTAGAAAGAACACAAAATTACTTACTGGGGTTACCTAGACTAAATACAGCGAGAGACATATGTCATGTTTAACGTTTTATATGTGTGTTTTCTAAAAATGCATTTTAAAACACAAAATCACACGATAAAAAGATATGGGGGTTATTAATAGGGGACATGGAGAAAGGTAGCTATCACGACTTGAGGGATGAATTTGAGTGACACATATATATGTAATATGGGTTGTGATCACTACAGGTTTGGACTGGGCTACTTACCACATCTCCACTGGAATAGTCTCTATTGGCCTGACAGAACGACGCAAATTGTAATGTCAGCACGGTAACAATCCCAACGAATGAAATAATATCCATGGTATGTATTCAAAACAGTGGTACGTACCACTCACCAACTAAAACACAACACTCAACACGGAATTAGAACGATATCGACTATTTGATAAATTCCAGCACGTATCCAGATCGGTCGACTACATTGTGTATATTATCTTTCCTCTTATTTATCGGAAATACCAGATAAAAGGTCTATAACAATGAATGTGTTTTGTGGTTGTAATATATTCGACTAAGTCTCGACTAGCGCTCCGTCCTTTGTTGTTGAAAGACACTGGTATGTATTGGAGCTGTCTGTACGATCTGGTGGTGGCGTTCCCACACTGTCATGCACTCGGTCGTCTGCTGTACAATGTGTGCTCTCTAGCATATAGAGCTGTGCCTTACAGTATATATAGCCTCATACCTGACAGTATACACATATATCGGCTGTGGGATGATAGGTCTGTGATTGGTCTATAGAAGGGGGTCAGTTGTGTGAGGGTGGGTTCACTGGGGGGTACTTACCCTGTGTTCTTCGGATTTATCCTCGGTTAAACGTGCACAGATCGATGATTGTGAGAAATGAGGATGGGAAGGTCAGATGGGAAGGTCAGATGCTGTGATAAAAGGTGATCAGAGTGCAGACAGAGGTGCTGTTAGCCTTAACCTTACTTATCATTATTTGTCCTCACAAAAATACATCAAAATTAAATTTATTGATAATCGTTGAGGTAATTCATGTACATTTTTAAAGTAAAATATCAATATATATATAACATTTCCGTCGTTAAGCATATGCTATCATGTAAACCCATAAACACCACAGGAGATCTAAAGAAAGGTCGGTCATGTAGATTCCTAAACACCACAGGAGAGCTTTAGTAAGGTCGGTCATGTAGACCCCAAAATACCACAGTAGAACTAAAGAAGGGTCGGTCATGTAGACCCCTAAATATCACAAGAGATCTTAACAATGCCAGTCATGAAGTCATGTGGACCCCTAAACACCACAGGAGAGCTAAAACAAAGGTCGGTCATGTAGACCCCTACACACCACAGTAGAACTAAAGAAGGGTCGGTCACGTAGACCCCTAAATACCACAAGATATCTTAAAAATGCCAGTCATGAAGTTATGCGGACCCCAAAACACCACAGGAGATCTATTGAAAGGTCGGTCATGTAGACCCCTACACCACAGGAGATCTAAAGTAAGGTCGGTCATGTAGACCCCTACACACCACAGGGTAGTTAAAGTAAGGTCGGTCATGTAGACCCCTACACACAATAGGAGATCTAAATAGTGCCTGTCATGTACAACCACATACACCTATATACCACATCAGAGTTTAAGAAAGGCCAGCCATGATAATGACAAATGAGTCTAACACACCAGTAACTGGGAGGTCAGAGCAGCGTCATAGAAAAGGGAGGTCGATGATGGTTGGAATGTCATAAAGTATGACGTAGCAATCTGGTGTACTTGTTCATTACTGGTGCACATGCAACATATTCTCTATCTAAAATGAGGTCAATAAAGTCATTAACCTACTCAATAAAGTCATTAACCTACTCAATAAAACATCAATCATTTTCATTAATATTTTAATGGTCTGGTTTTTTTTAAACATGGATGTTCTTTATACCAAAGCCGCAACAGAAAGTATGACGTAAATTATTGTAATGGTTTTGTTTACTACTGCGCTTATCACTAGCGGTGCGCGTAAGTTTGGGTTATTTATGTTTGGTATCAACAGGGAATGTTTTGTCGATTTCTGATTACATATCCAATGCTTTTATTGTTGTGTAGTTTGTCAGCCAGATATTGGTACTTGACTATGAAGTAGTACACATTCGGTGCAGCATTCATCAATAACTTTCATGAATAAAAGATGCCATGTTATGAGGCAGCTAAACGAGTAGTATTGTAACTAACATTTAGGATTTTACGTTAAGGATACCATACAATTGAATCAATAACCATTCAAAGGATCAAAGGGAAAAGTATATTATCGATATCTGGTATAACAATTACAGTCATAGCATGTATTCTTATGAATATTAATTTTATTTTAAAACCAACGTACGACCTTTTGTAGTGATATGAATACTTTGTGCTGTTAAGGTTTTGGGAGTTTACCGGATCATCTTCGCGTAGTACAGTGTAGGTTGTGTACAATTGATGTAATAAAAGTGAAAGTACATTGACAGGATATGTAAAATCAAATCTTATTGAATACATCACATGAATTTGTAAATGAGGAGTATTGGCCTTTTAGGAATTTTTATTAACATAACTATGCATCGCATGTAATTAGCTCCCGTCTTTTAAATCCGAAGATGCTCTTTGTAATATTTTATAGTAATACACTTAATAAGACTGGTGCTTTTAATGTTTTAATGTTTACTTGTTCAAAATTACAAACAACAACATGAAAGATTTGCATAGAGAAAATCACGATTATAACCATCAGTCCGGTGATTAGAAATTTAACATAAAATGACCAAAAAATGAATTCATACCAGTTTTATATATCGACTACAAACACCAAATATATATATCTATACTACATCCATACCAATGTTTTATATCTAAATTACATCAATACCAATTATATATATAATTAGACTACGCCATACCAATTATATATATAAATAGACTGCGTCATACCAATTATATATATATATAAATAGACTGCGCAATACCAATTTTGTATATATATATAGACTACGCCATACCAATTATATATATAAATAGACTACGCTATACCAATTATATATATCTAGATTACATCAATACCAATTATATATATCTAGACTACGTCATACTAATTATATATATATCTAGACTACACCAAACTAGTTTAAGATGAAATATATGACTTCATACTACACCTGATTAATCGTCAGTATTCATTTCATCAAAAGATTGCTTGATTGATTGGGGGGAATCTGACTTCAGATACAAGCCTTATAACAGTTTGTGACACCTCAGATACAACCAAAGAACTGAAGTCATAAACATTGCGCAGTAACAGTGGCGGACCTCAGTCTATGAAAGCAAGAACAAGATTGTAACAGTGTAAACGACCTATTTCTCAAGTATAACGTAACATTTATGTTCCATACCAATCCTGCTGTATACATAGTGCAAAAAGCCAGCTTTGTAGACCAGGTGAAAGAATAGCTCGAAACACTTAACTCAAAGACACGACGTAATTCCGAGACCGCGGTGCGGCTCTGATATTATTACAACGCTTCTGTTTCCTTCACAAAGTAGAGTGCGCAGTGCAATCGGTACATACGTACCACACGCCTTTCCCGTGCCATTAAGTGCACGCTTGTGCTCATATTTACCCTTACATTAAGTTAGGTTTGGATGTTAACATCTTAGCATAGTTCAACTTTTATGTGATTTTTGATTTATATAGGAACACTTTGAGATTATATATTTTGCTATTAATAACGATTGATCTTCCTCCAATATTTAATCAAAACTTTGATTGTTTCTTCTTCGGCATTTTCCGGAAGTTGTTACATTGTAACAACATTTTCTACCGTGACTGTCTGCTCTCAACCTGTCTTAAATCCTATCTCTCTTGTCCGCATTTTACGGTATCAGTCTTTATGGCTCTGATGCGGTGCTGCCTTGGGATCTTTACTTCCATTCATCTCTCGGAATTAATTCTGTATATTTCCTAAGACGGGGGTTATGTTAGTGCTAGGAACTACTAATTAATATCAATTACATCTTTTTCTTTTACATCGTCAACAATTGTCAAAGTGTTAAACAAATGTTTATGATTTTTGAGAAAACCAAACATTGTCTTTTCTACAGTCCAATCGCCTGTTGCCAGTGACAGATATACTACATGTATGTAATTTTAGCTACAGATAAATTGTTGATATTTTTATACAAGGCTTGATATTTGAAATTTAAAAATAACTAAATATATCTTGGTTAAACAGGTATATTTTTCGTAGTGATTTCTTACCTCATTTATAAGGTTGGAAATCAAAACATTAAGTTTTGCACTGGATAACAATTATCTTCAAAGTGATAAAGCAGATGATGTACCAGACTTTTTTGTCAATAATTGATCAGCGTGTATGAATGAGAATGACATACATGTAATTACAATATATATGATGTCACGGTTTCAATATTTTTGGTATCCAATTTTCATCATGTCCTCAATGAACCTGCATCACTGAAACACTGCGATCAGGAAACTAGAAATTTAGTATCTTTCGATGATCTTAATAACTTACGATGTCAAATTCAATGACCATATCTCCCCTGATTATCCTGTCTAAGATAATTTTAGATCTGGAAAATGTGAACGAGTACCCATCCAGCCACTGACCTCGTTCGACGTGATTATAACGCATCACTGAAAAAGCTAGCTTGTACTGATTTATACGGATATAAACGGCCTTATAGATAATGTATAATGATATAAACGGTCTTATCGATAATCTATATGGATATAAACGGCATTATAGATAATTTATACGGATATAAACGGCCTTATAGATAATTTATACGGATATAAACGGCCTTATAGATAATTTATACGGATATAAACGGTATTATAGATCATTTATAAGGATATTAACGGCATTATAGATATTTTTACGGATACAAAAGGCCTTATAGATAATTTATACGGATATAAACGGCCTTATAGATAATTAATACGGATATAAACGGCCTTATAGATAATTTATACGGATATAAACGGCCTTATAGATAATTTATACGGATATAAACGGCCTTATATATAATTTATACGGATATAAACGGCATTATAGATATTTTATACCGAAATAAACGGCCTTATAAATAATTTATAAGGATATAAACGGCCTTATAGATAATTTATACGAAAATAAACGGCCTTATAGATAATTTATACGGATATAAACGGCCTGATACATGTAGTTAATTTATACGGATATAAACGGCATTATAGATAATTTTATCGATGCGAATCCTAGAAATATTTGGAAACTTGTTCGCAGATTAATTAAATGAACTGACACATCCAATGATATACCACCTTTAAGGAGTGCGACTTGAAATATAGAAATGGATAACGATAATATGAAAACAGGCATTGCCTGAAAAGAGCGAAGCCTCTAAATGCTGTTTTTTTTAATTTATTCTCTTAATAATATTAATTTAAAACATTATCTATTTATTCGTTTTATAGCGATACAGCAGTCAATGTAAAATAAATAATAAGTAAAGAAAAGCATTCGAATGAATTATGCAGTTCAAGAGAAAATACAAATGCTTTTGGTACTGTGAGTTAGGCCCTGTAGAGGGACATCATATTTGAAGATGTATTGTTTATCAAATATAACTGTTGTTATCTGTATAAGAAAAGTTAAGTAT